CCCCCATATTCCACGCATCTTTACCACCAGCAAATTGACTGCAGCACGTCAAATGGTACACGTTTTTGCACTTACAGTATGGATGGGTGGTTTTTACGCGACTCAGAATTTTCCTCGCACTAAACAGTGTCGGCATTTTGCTATATTCTTTACCTGGGTCCATTAGCAAGTTCACCATATTTTGGTCCAGCTGTTTCGTCCCGCTTGGGACTTCAGCAGGTCATGGAATGAGCCAGTCAATATTTCAGCGCAATACCTAGCCACAAGTATGAAGAACACCATTTTTATGTTGACATGATATGTTTGACCACACCACATCATGCTTTTATTGTATTCCTGCCTCTATCTTGACGCTCGTCTCCACCAATCAAATTCAAATTTACTCGATCTGAAAGTCGCTTAAACTGAAAAACAGCCGTGAGCTTTTTTCTGTTACCTCCTTTGTTATGTATCAAGCTAACCTATAAACAGCCGACTCACCGCATATATATACAGCCTCTCCCTAAAGAATGCCAAAGGCCAGACTGGGCGTGGGTCGCTGGCAGAATGATTGAGCGAGGATGGGGAATATATACATTTTAGGAGGATTCGGCGTTCGCTGGCTTAGACTGCCCAAACCCCCCCCCCCCCACGCCTCCCCCTAGTCCACATGTTATATTAGGTTAGGTCCTGCTTTAGGCTCGCTAGACATGTCGCAACGCCAAATATATATGACCCCAGTCTTTCTCCTCTCGAGAGGCAAGATTGTCAGTCATAGCGCCAAAATCCGCCCAGAAAATTACTAAGTCTAAGGGGATACCTAGCCCTCATACAATTCAAGCAAAGTCCCCCACCCGCAACAGGCTTCAACGCCTTGACCGCGTAGAAGACGTTGTTGGCTGTCTCGAAGGCAGTCCCCATTTATTACAGCTGTTTGCATCAGCTGCTGTTGGCTTCAGCGGCGGCGCGATTTACCACCAGAGTCGGGTCCGCTGGTTGCCGGCGATAGCCCGCGGCCGGGCGGGCTGTGTACGGCCCAGTTTATCACAGCCCCCGCAGCCGGCCGCGTGGCGCCGCAGATAGCTCGCCCCAGCTAGAGCGGCGTCGCGTAAACCACGCTCGCAGGAGACTAAGCTTAGCCGCACCAGTCACGGGGCGGCGGGGGGGTGAGTTATGGTGTGCGCCACTGGCTGCCGCAGGAGCATGAGCTTCGGCGCCTGCCGCAGAGACGTCATCTGCGCGCGCTGGGGTCATGTCACGACCAGGCGTCAGCATAGCCGAGATGATTAAGAGATGACATTTATTTAGCAGTAGAATGTCGGCATTGATGCCAACAAGAAATGCCTGTTTGACTTGATGCGCACGTCTGTGTTCTGTGTGCGGAAAGTTGGGGCCACACTTCACTGCGACCGACGAACGTGATGTGTTTCAAACAGTCGTCCATGTTTCCAGGCGATGTTAATTTGATATCATGATTTGTTTCGCCCCTTATAATGTCAGTGCTTTTGCTGCCAGAAAGATTGCATCGTGAGATAAGTTGGCGTGCGCACTAGGTAGATACCAGTAGATAAATGGCGTCTGCGTGTATTTATGGGTCGTGCCTTCCAATTCACCACCTTCGGCCTGGTGTTGTGCTTTTCCAAGATGAGTGGATCATAGTCAACCAAGTGCACGTGTCTTGTCGCCTCTCTCCCCCTCTGCTCCCCTCCCCCATCCCCCCAGCTCCCGGCTGCCGTGTTTACGGCCATCATCAAATATTGGAGAGGTTTTTAAAATGTGAGCAAAATGCTATAAAAACGTTCACTGTGTTCTCAATCGTGCTTTATGTAGCCTAGGGTAATGACCTAGGGTAATGACCTTTAGAAGCCTAGGGTAATGACAGCACATTCTGAACACGATACCGCCAGGAACGGTATTCCTTTTGACTATTAATCAAGTCTGTAAATCTGTAAGTACTAAGCGGATCTGTGCGGTCGGCGGTTCAATCCCTGCGCTACGGATGGCGCTCCCGGGTCTCTGTCCAGCAGGGGCAGCCAGGACAGCAGAACACTGGTGTAGCGTGGTAATCTCCCACCCCACGCCCGATCCGGCACTCAGCGGGTGGCTGGCGGCTCCACCCGTCCGCCCGCTGAGGCGCACGTGGACAGTCCGCGTTGGCGGGATCAGCAGGCCATCAGCTGGCGGGACCAGCAGACCTTCAACTGGCGGGATCAGCAGACCATCAGCTAGCGAGACCAGTAGACCTTCAACTGGCGGGATCAGCAGACCATCAGCTGGCGGGATCGGCAGATCGTCAGCTGACGGATCAGCAGACCATCAGCTGGCGGGATCAGCAGACCGTCAGCTGGTGGATCAGCAGACCGTCAGCTGGTGGATCAGCAGACCTTCAACTGGCGGGACCAGCAGACCATCAGCTGGCTAGTGTGCACGATCTGAGCCGCGCGATTGCTGGCGATTGTTTGGTACTCTGAAAGCTGAAGATCGAGATGTAGGCCGCTGTAGCAAAGATGATGTAGTACGAGATGTAGGTAGCAAAGCATCTTGTTGTAGAGGTGCAGCTGAATGTGTGTATTCTTCTGTTCTTGTGAAGCAGCTTGCTCCACCTTTGTATCATTTGCACCCCGCTCTCTTGTCATTCAGGCTCGGGCTCAGGCATTTGGCTCCCAAAATGATTACATATATTGCAACGTGCATTCAAGCAAGAATGACGACACCGATTGATTTAATAAACCAGAGATAAAATCACCCCGACACCCATGTCACGATAGGCTCTCAAAATAGCGGATCATCATGATACGCAGTAGGTCACGAGAAGGAAAGCACCCTTGAAGCCAACGAAAGATCGAGAACCGAAGTTGACGGCTGCAGAGGACGAGCTGGCTTCGTGGCCATACAGAGCTATGCTAATGGAGACGGGTCGCACTCCACGTTCGTCGGCTAGCGGCGCTCTATAACATGTGGACAGCTGCGCAGTGACCCGGCTGTTAATCTTTGAAAGAGAAACCAACGCGCCACCCCTTAGGGGTGCTCTTCGCTGCATTTTTTTTTCGCTAGCAAAACTTCGTTTAGGAATCGCAGCTTTTGCTCAGTTCTATAAATATTGAACAAAGGAAAGTTTTTGAAACGCCCAATCCGTCTACAAACGCATTGCTTCTGAGCCGTGATACGCAATGTCATAGAAAGAAGTGAGAAGACGACCGGCAGCACACAAAATGACGTGCTCATTTGGTGCTCGCTTGTGTGAGGCAAGATGCTGCGATAGGTGATCCGTCTCATAATCAAACCACCATTGGGGTCTAACAACGGGCAAGCCTCAGGCTCACAATGCAGGCGTTAAACCCACGTACGAATGGCACTTCTTACCCTTCGCCGGGCGAGGGCGTTAGATGCTGAGCCCCCTAACATCAGAGGATTCCCTGCACGCCAGGCCGCCCACTGGTTCCTGTTTCACGGCTCCAGCTCAAGTGGGGAATAAATGGCAAGGGGCACCTAGGAAGGACATGAACACCCCTAACCCCAACTCCACCCGAGCTCCCAGGCCGCCAGGCGAAATCGCCCCCGCTCGGCGGGAGCTATTCTTGGCTCACTTGCGATTCTTCTAAGTCGCTGATGTAGACCTGAGGTCACCGCTGCGCACGTCACAAGTTTGTCAACTTACGTAAAGCAACACCACGGTCTCCGGTCGGAAACCCCCACGGCTTGAATGGGACCCGTACCACAAACGGATACGGCCAACACAACGCATCGCAGTTCACAGGTAAAGCCTCACAACAGCGACACATGGCACGACACAGTGTGCTGCCGACGTTGGTCACAACTGCTTAAGCTGTTTCGTGTACGCCTCGTTGCTGAATGGCGGTCGGCGACTCGACCGCTAGTCCACACGGAGGTGGCGACGGCCCACCTCGTCACCACACATGCACGGGCCAAGGGTGAGACCTCTCGAGCCGGGGTCGGCTCCGGGGTCAGGGTGACATCTCCCGATCGCCGATCTGGCTCAGGAGAGTATCTCGAGGTCCGCGCGGAGCCGCGATGTCGGCCGCGGGGCGCATGTTTATTCCGGCGGATACAATACGCCAATATTGGCAAAAATGTGCTGCAAAGATGCCAAATTGGAGAATTTTTCTTGCTGTGCTTACAGGGAAGAACTGCTGCGAACACAAAATTGACGAGAACAATAAAGACGCATTAAACACAGAGGACGCGTGCGTGAAGAAGAAGGCACCGTCGAAATTTAAGCAAAACGGAAGGGAACAAGAACGAATCAGGGAGCAGCAAACAGTTAATATGCAATGATAAACACGTTCAAGACAGTGTACTATGCAATAATCTTTGGCTCTCATGGACGTGGGCGTGATTACGACTCTGAGATCGCGGGAACAACCAGGATTGGAGAGGTGAGACTGAAATTTAGAGGAGACAACCTGAGCTGAAATTTGTATTTTGAATTGAAAGATTTAAAACAGTGTTGGTAACTGAGCTCATTTCCCGCTGTTCAGCCCACCTCCATCAACCAATTTTGTGAAATAAACCCAAATATTTTGTGCAGGTTTGTTCTTGATGAGTCATGTAGGAGTCACGACGTGCTTTTTTATCTTTACTCTCTTCGCAGATCCTAACTATTGCTGACCAAGGTAGGAAAAAACGCATCGTATTTCAAACTCCGAGCAATTAATTTGAGGGGGTCCGGTGGCGGTAATCTAACCAGAGCCGCTCACTTGAAAGTACTTGATTTTTGACTATGTGCGATTCGATCACCTCGTTCAGCATCGTTGCCTTCTGATCCTCGAGTTGAGTTCAAGAACTCTTACGACTTCGCTGCCACTGGGCTGTTGTGCTGTTATTATAAGGTCTTGGCTACCACACGTCGCGTACCCGTGGCGGTGTATGATGGTTGCCTTTGGTATTTCGCGGACCCAGCAGCCCAGCGAGAAAACGTCTCTCATTTTGTAGCTTTGCAGCAGATTTTCTCCACCATTGGCGTTTTTAGATCCACCGGAATAAGTGCCGCGTGCGGGGCGACTAGAATGCATCGCGCGGGCGTGCGCACGTCCATGCAGATGACAGCGGCGCGGGGCTCAGTCGTAGTCGGACCCGATGGTGATGCTGATCTCGTCCGACACGATCTGCGTCATGTGGTACCACATGTTGGTGTCCAGCACAACTGAAACAGTCAGACCAGAGCGCCGCTCAGTGCTGGTAGTGGCAGCGGGGCTCGACAGCCGCTGCCGGCGAGGCGTACCGGTTCTCATGCTCAGTACTGAGCGGACAGCTGGGACAATGGGCTGCAGATAACGAGGCGGTCGTCGACTTTGCTGACGGGGGTTGGGAGGGACGAGGAGAATCAGAACTGGTGCAGCTGTGGATACTGGACCGTGAGTTCAAAGCGTCAGTAGTCGGGGTTCGGTTTATCGATCGACAACATAATCAAACGCCCCAGGGATGTTCCAAGGCCCCAGGTTTTCGACTGGCACAGACGCAGCTGGAGGTCGGTTTTACCTAGTGAACGGCCCATGAAATACTTTGTTGAGCAGCGCCGGTGGAACCTGCCTGAATGTGGAAAACAATCCCTCATTTTTTACATTTACATCACCATGCAGTTGACCACCATGATCGGCCAGAAGTGGTAAAAAGCGAGGTAACCCCGTCGCTAAGCCCATTGATTATGCACACTGCGGCAGAACATTCCTTGCTTCATAGCAATGTGACTTACCTGCTGCCAATGGTTTCAACGTCATTATCCCACTTCCTAATCTCTCCCCCGCTGAAGGTGACCTGCCCAATGTGGCCTCACCCACTGATCTCCCCCTGGTTAACAGTGACCTGAGTAATGGGACCTCATTCACTGATCTCCCCCTGGTTGACAGTGACCTGACTAATTGGACCTCACCCACTGATCTCCCCCTGGTTGACAGTGACCTGAGCAATGGGACCTCACCCACTGATCTCCTCCTGGTTAACAGTGACCTGAGTAATGGGACCTCATTCACTGATCTCCCCTGGTTGACAGTGACCTGACTAATTGGACCTCACTCACTGATCTCCCCCTGGTTGACAGTGACCTCAGTAATGGGACCTCACTCACTGATCTCCCCCTGGTTGACAGTGACCTGCCCAATGTGGCCTCACTCACTGCTCTCCCCCTGGTTGACAGTGGCCTGCCCAATGTGGCCTTACTCACTGATCTCCCCCTGGTTGACAGTGACCTGAGCAATGGGACCTCACCCACTGATCTCCCCCTGGTTGACAGTGACCTGAGTAATGGGACCTCACTCACTGATCTCCCCCTGGTTGACAGTGACCTCAGTAATGGGACCTCACCCACTGATCTCCCCCTGGTTGACAGTGACCTCAGTAATGTGGCCTCACTCACTGATCTCCCCCTGGTTAACAGTGACCTGAGTAATGGAACCTCACTCACTGATCTCCCCTGGTTGACACTGACCTCAGTAATGGGGACCTCACTCACTGATCTCCCTCCTGGTTGACAGTGAACCCTGAGCAATGGGACCTCACTCACTGATCTCCCTCTGGTTGACAGTGACCTGAGCAATGGGACCTCACCCACTGATCTCCCCCTGGTTGATGGTGACCTGAGCAATGGGACCTCACTCACTGATCTCCCCATGGTTGACGGTGACCTGAGCAATGGGACCTACTCACTGATCTCCCCCTGGTATGAGGTGACCTGAGCAATTGGACCTCACTCACTGATCTCCCCCTGGTTGACGGTGACCTGAGCTAATGGGACCTCACTCACTGATCTCCCCCTGGTTGACGGTGACCTGAGCGATGGGACCTTACTCACTGATCTCCCCCCTGGTTGATGGTGACCTGAGCAATTGGGACCTCACTCACTGATCTTCCCTCTGGTTGACAGTGACCTGAGCAATGGGGACCTCACCCACTGATCTCCCCCTGGTTGATGGTGACCTGAGCAATGGGACCTCACTCACTGATCTCCCCCTGGTTGACGGTGACCTGAGCAATGGGACCTCACTCGCTGATCTCCCCCTGGTTGACGGTGACCTGAGCGATGGGACCTTACTCACTGATCTCCCCGTGGTTGATGGTGACCTGAGCAATGGGACCTCACTCGCTGATCTCCCCCTGGTTGACGGTGACCTGAGCAATGGGACCTCACTCACTGATCTCCCCCTGGTTGATGGTGACCTGAGCAATGGGACCTCACCCACTGATCTCCCCCTGGTCGATGGTGACCTGAACAATGGGACCGTACTCACTGATCTCCCCCTGGTTGACGGTGACGTCCATGCTGCGGCAGACAGACAGACACTCGCGTGGGGGCTCCAGCGTCCACATCTTGCGGCCATGCAGCTGCGCCTGCCACGACGGGTGCTTCACGTGGTCAATCTGCAGTGAAACGGCGCCGGAGGACGTTAGACCTGCAACGTGAACGGCCGACAACAATGAGGCGACATTATAAAGAACGGAACACGCCTCCATACTCCGGCAAAAAACAGTTTACAAATGTGGGTTTAGCTCGCAGTTTCACAGGTCAAGACGTCATGAAAATTCAAGCCTTCTCTTTGTTTTTGTATTTCTGCTCAACGAGTTTCGACACTTAATCCGTGTCATGCTTCTCTGCGCATTGATAGCAGTGGTCCGAGCGGGCTGAGGTTCTCTGACGCCCTGTGCCATAGAGACTGACAGCTTGTAACCTGGAAAGATCCACGGGATATATTGATCAGTTGCATGTTACCACACGGCATCTAAATAGGTCGATATTTCAACAGGCTAACACCTTAATTTTTGGGCATGTCATTCCAAACAATAAGAAGAGGAGACAGTTATTCTGCGCAGCAATGTTGCATAAAGTCATGAGATCTATCAACGCAAACATTGGTGGGCTCTACAAGCCTATCAACCAATCAGAAGCGAGATGCAGATGAGACCCCTCTCGCCCTTGGCTGATCCCTTCCCGCGACAGTATTTATGGACCTGATTGAAACGATGGTCCGATGATGACCTGCCAGGATCCCAAGGTCCACAACCAGGCATATAGATAGCATTCTCCAAAGATGGACCATGAACCACATGCTTCCGCCAAGTTTCCGCTTTTGCTAACGACTTGCGCCCAATCCCGTCCTTTACTGTGAGAAGTTCTGGCCATTATGATCACTGACACCCTTTATTGACAGCAAAAGGTGACAGAACAATGATGACGACAGCACAAAATGTCCTCCACTGCATGTTTAAAACATACGGCGTAAACCATAACGTATGAAAGTATCCATTTTCTCTTCCTTAAGCACAGACAAAGTGTTTCGGGTCACCCTCACAGCCCATAAGGACGATCAGCCTAGGAAAAAGCCCAACAAAACAAGTCAGAGGCATGGACATGCCGAACAACTTTCTCTTTGACATTGGATATCCACACTTGTTAAGCCTATTAAGCCTATTAAACTTATTAAACTGAGTGGAATTTATGAAGCTAATGAATTTTGCCGCCTCCGTGGTCTTGGGGAAAGATGCTGGATTCGTAATCCAGCGGCACTGGCTACGAGTCCCAGAGTGGGCGCATTGTTCAACCCGACTGAGATGGAAAGGCCAGCTGGCAACAAGCCAACGAGGTTCAACCCATACCCGAGGCGGCCGTGTCGCAGCATTGTGTGGCACGTAAAACCCTCCGCATTCCTGTCTGGCGAAAGGGTGGAGGCGAAATTAGCTGTTGAACTGGACGGCACGCTTGGGTGGTGGGTTCGGGGTATACGCAACAAGCTATGCTAAGCAGGTACTCTGAATCCGAAGTCACCCATATAAACCATTCGGAATAAATTTTAAAGAATGAGACTTAATAGAGCTGATAAAACTTGGTTAAGCTTATTACTTAACCCATTAAGTTTAGCAAAATTCGTTAAGCTATTTTAATGTTATTAGACTCATTAAGCTTACAAATTTAGCAAAGTTTATGAAACCTATGCTTACCATGGACCTATCCCAAGAATTAGACATGCTTTATCACCCGTTCTAGGCAATGAAGAAGTTTGCCTGGAATGGATCCACCTAATGCTGACAACGTCACCTCTGTTTCCATTCCATTTATTGACAGCACATTGACAGGAAGAGAAAATGCATCTCATAAATCTACTGAGCTGCCAATTCGTGGCATCACAGAGCGGTACAACGCTTTCAAATGGCCACCAAAATATGGCTCAGACTCGTCAAAAGATCTTTCGTTTAACGCATGATGCAACGTTTGCAGTTGAGGTCTGGCTGGTTGTTGTTGCGCTCAGCAGTTGTTCATCCCTACAGCTTGTGACACCTGCCAGGTTGATACCTTGCGGCTTATCGGAAAAAGCAGCAGAGAGCGATCGTTAAAAAAGACACGTTAGGCGTTCAAGACAATTCCAAGAGGCAAGAATCCTCCGGCCATTGCTCCTTATGGATTTCGCCATTGTACCGTAACCACCGATCTTTGTATAAAAATGCCCCTACTATGGCAAAGACGTTGCAAACTGAATTTTACGAAGTCAATAGAAACACAGAACTCTTAGCCCAACCACAACATTCAGAACCCTTCCCGACGCCCAGTCGCCTCTGTGCCATACAAGACGGCATAGTACTCAAACAAGACATGCACAATAGCATACAGACGCCTGCACCCACACCCCTGCACAATCACTCGCCCATTGCCCTCCCTCACACCGGCGGCCATGAAGTACACAGACGTCTCACACGCAGACTCACGCACACACCCGCGGAGACGCATGCGCAGCAGGCTGACTAAACTTACACTGCACCGTAACTGACTTCAGCTACTGATCGCATTGTTTGTTTCCTGTGATAGTCCACACAAATTAAAAATACGTCACGAACCGCGACTGACTTGTAGGATTACGGAATTGCTTAGCTCGAGTGATGGTGTGGACAATTTTACCATATTAGATACGCGCAAGCTGAAAGTATTGTCCAGTTGCACTGACGACGTTTTATTTAAAGAATTCGTAAGCTGTTTCGACCGATATGTGGCATGCGTATATACCCATCATTGAGGACTGTTATACTCGTCAACAAAACTGCCAAACGTCTTGCATTCTGACTTTGTTTTGCTGGTCCTTACCATCTCTGATGAAGGACCGCACCAGAAATAGGATGTTTCATGTACAACTATCAATACCAAAGTAGCAAAACGCAAGCATGCATATATATATATATATATATATATATATATATATATATGATGTGTGTATACATGTATATGCTATATGTGTACATTTGCGTGGGTATGTATGTGTAATAGATCTTTCAGATTGAGCAAAGGAACATCATTTCTGCTCATTGTTATACTGGCATTTTTGCGCTTATATTAAATTTATCCAGCATGGCTGCCGCAATACCGGACAGTCGATACAGGGCGGTCTCTTAAGTAGGCTTAGTAGGAAGTGTTTTAAGGATGGGCTGCTTGGGATGGTAATTGTCCATGATTATTATCATGCTACGGCTGCCCAAAACAAAAAAAAATCTGGGTTTCCTTCTTGGATCAAAGTTAGGAGGGTTCATCGGAGATTTAGGGTCTGTCTCTGTATGCGACGCCCATAGAAGTAATGTTAAATTCCACTAGGGTGGCGGAGTCCTTTGCTATATGTGTCAAACACATGTTGCAAAGGGACAACAGTGACTGTGCAACTAACATGCAAATGTGCGCCGAATCCGGGCGTGCCCATGAAGATCCAGTCGAGTCGGCTCAACTCGGCCGTCTCCGGCAGGAAGTAAGGCCGGGTGTAGTGGCGGCGCAGTTCGTTCCCCGCCGCCGAGTCGCAGCTAGACCTGCCCAGCAGAAGGTCTTGGGCTCGAATCTTCCGGTGGATGAATATTTCGGTTTGGCCCTAAGCAGCGCTAAATTGGCAACGTTGCCGCGTTAACCATGCATTATGCGCCCACGAAGTGTTCACCGAAGCATTTACTGACACACATGAGGCACACTTAAGGTGCATACAGATGCTTCCAATATCCGACGCATCAGTCAGCATAACGTTGAAACAGACCTGTAACAGCAATTTCCTTACCTTGTTGGTGTATTTTTCCCCAATTCAGGATACTAATAATAAAGCGTGCAGCTGTATCTCAGAAGGAACATCCACTGGAAATCCCACAACCACAGATTTTGTTCTGCAAACCACTAAGCTACGTGTCCCTCAGGCTTGAATTCTAAAGTAAAAACAGGGCTTAGCCTGAGCTGCCGTGCAGAACTGGCCGCACGGCCGCGGTCAGCCCCGCCGGCGCCGCTGCGGTGGCGAAGGTGACCCCTACCAGCCGATGTACCACGGCTCCTCGCCCTTCTGCATGTTGGCCCGGGCCGCCGACATGGAGAACACGTCACTCAGGCCGTCGAAGTCAGTCCTGCAGCACGGAGAGCGGCACATGAGCGTCCGCGAGTCGACGGCGGACGGAGCGGCTGCCGTTTTGCGGCGTGGTGTGTTTCAGGCTGGGGCCGAGGCCATTTTTGGAGTGTTTGGAGTCGACAGCCGTGAACATGTGGGGGTGTAACGTGAAGGGGCTATGGCACTGACGTTTGAAACATAACGGGACTGGGCCTTGCTGCTGCGGGAAAGATGAAAGCCGTTCAATTCAGAAACAGCTGAGACGCATGTGTACAACCGAACGACATATCAATGTTTTACACCACCAGTGTGAAAATCCAGGCGAGGCTGAACAAGGTTAGGTCGTTGATATGGGGTAGGTCACTCATGTGGGCTGATACCGTAGGTAAAGACAGAGGAAGTGACGGTCAAACTACCACCGGTTCCTGTCCCTGATCTGAACTATTCTGAGGTCTGCTCCAAAGCGTTCCACCATCGAGCGCATCCCGACGACTTCAGATGCTGAGCTGACCAGGACAATGCCGGGTGTCAGGAGATATGCTGTGTCACGAAAATCTGCCTACCTACCTATCATCCTACCTGCATGCCAGAGGGGAGCGTAAGCACGTGAGCGCACCAAGTTGCGTTGTGCGGTGTACGGGGTTTCCAGGCACCCAGTGAAACAGACGTCGTAATCGTGCTGCGTGCCGCTACGCGGACGTCGCTGGCCGTTGTTTATGCTTATGCTTAATCATCGTTGTTTCATTAGGTCCTTACCCCGCCTACGTATTCAAATATGATAGTCTACGAATTGGACAATACTATCCTTCCCGTTCTTTTGAGACTTGTGCCGGAGCCAACAATCGAACAGCTGTGGACTGTTCCACATGTACGCACAGGTGTATTCTCGATAGGACTGTCATGCCAGAATCTATCCTTAGCAGTTTTGCATGGCCTGGTTAAGATACCACGTTACCTTCATACCACGTTGAATTATATTTCTTGGTCCCGCAACCATGAAAACGTGTTGCCTTTTCAGTACTTTGAGGCATCAGCTCGGCGTGGCCACAGCATAGAACTACAAATAAGCGAAATAGCTCTGAGGAGCTAACACCACTCTTGCTCACTTATTCGACGCCAAAGTTCCGGTCAGTCAATGCTATGCTTCATTTGCGAGTGAATTAACTCTGACTATCTTATTGCGGTGTCATAATGACTTTCCATGTTTACCCAAGCGGTTTTTGCAAGCGCATTCAAAACGTCGGAGCCTGGCGCTCTGGCACTGGTTAAGTTTATCGGGGGGTTGATGGCATACGTTTTGTCAAAGCTTGAGTTCACCACATCATCCAGAGTCAGCTCCAGGACAGGTGTTTGGAAGACAAGTTTGAATGAAACACGGCCTGCTGAAGGCGGTTGTCTCGTCCAATGTTTTTTGACTGCACCCGACAGGTGTTTGACCGAAGTGAGGTGTAGCGAAGACTATATATATATATATATATATATATATATATATATATATATATATATATATATACATATTATTTGGAATAGCCGTCCAGTAGCATCGTTTTTTTCCAACCCACAGGATCATGTAAATCGAGAATGACCACACCTTAAAGGCGTATACGCTATATGCACACGAACAAGGGCGGCGTCAGTCAGTACCGGTAGGAGGCGAATATTGCGGATGGACTTCATCCCAAATGGCAATTTTCGTGCAATCGTCATCGTTTGGCATAAAAGCCCATGCACAAAGCACTTCGGTCAGCTTCCGCTCAGGCCGGCGTCAGCTGTCATTAGTTCTGAGGATGTCTGGGTGGTGTTCAGCTGCCACCCACTCACGCATCAAAACCCGAGTCTTCTCCTTGGGGTGAATCGGTGTATTCTATCCAGGATCTAGCTAACAAACAATTGTTCTATAAAAAAAATTGGCCGTTGTCAAGTTTGGTTCGCGACTGACGAACCTGACCACGGCCGGATAATGAAATGCCCTAAACGTTGCGTACATACTGACACAACAGATGAAGACTATAGTCCAAACAACTCTTCCATCCGGGTTACTTCGTCTCACTAATTCCTTCAAACTGAGTGCTATATATACTTATGAAAAAAATTTTCACGACCAACCTATTGCCTGTTTATGATCATCCGTCTATAATTTCAACTATCGTTTCGCAAGCGTCTGATAAAACCCAATGGAGCCAGGTTCCAGGTGACCAAATAGTGATATTCCAATAACGCGACTGCACTGTGCACACCGACGCGCAAATGTGTTCACGGCTGGCTTTAGTGGTTCTCAAACTGACGGCCTTATTTACAGTGCCTACAGCAGCCACCGTAAAAAGCAACTCAACATAGGATCTCTACGAGTCAAAATGGGCCCGTGTAAGGCCAGAGCGGGCTCTTTTCAAGCCAAAAGGGCCCCTCTATATGCCAGAAAGAGACTCTCGGCTGGTTAGTATGGGCCTCCATAGTCGATAATATGCCTTCTATAAGTCAGAGTGGACTCTTTAGAGGCTGGAATGGCCCCTCCTCAGCCAATAATGGCTCCTCTACGGGCCGGAATGGGCACTGTACAGTCGATAGTGGGCCCTGTGCAAGCCAGAAGGAGCCCCTGCGCATGTCATAATGAACCCTCCAAAGTCGGTGATAGAAGATCGACAGATCAGAATGGGTCCTCTAAAGGCCACAATTGGGTCTTCACAGTCAATAATAGGCCATCTGTAGGCCAAAATGGGTCCCCTACAGGCCAGCATGATGGGAACTGCAGTCAATAATGGGCTCTCTACGAACCTGAATGGGCCCCTCTGCTGGCCAGAATACGTCATGTACGGGCCAGAATGAGCCCTCGACAGTCAATACAGGACGCTCTACACGTCAAATGGGCCCGCTATAGGCCAGAATACGCCATCCAGTTAATGTTAGGCCCTCTACGGATCAGACTGGGCCTTTACAGGCCAGAATGGGTTCTTCACAGCTAATAATGGGCTTCGTTCAGGCCGGAATGGGCCCTCGATAGGCTCAGAAGTGCCCTCTTTGGTCAGAATGGGTCCTAAAAAGGCCAGAATAAGTCCTCGACAGGTCAGAATGAGCCTTTACATGCTTCCATAATCTCTTTACGGTTCAGAATTACCCTTGACAGACCAGCATGAGCCTCTACAGGCCCTGCAAGTTGGGAGGTGAGTTGCACCCACTGCCCCCAGCCCCCTTCCCGCGTCCTTATGCACGCAGGATATCGCAATAGGGGGGGGGGGGGGGTCAACTCAAAATCGCTCACGGAAAATCTACGTTGGCGTGATGGGAGCTGCTTATAGGGCATATAACATAATTGCATGTTTTCAATCTCATTTTTGTTGCGTATCTGTCACTTCTTTTTGCATGCATTTTCAGTTTTTCAGGGACATTCATGCGCGTAAAAAATTGATGAGATGGATGACGGGGATGAGAAGTCCATGGATCACCGGCAGGGGCGTCAGTTCTCACCGTACCGCCTGCGTCGACCATTCTGTTACCTTTCGAACTTACCGGGGTCCAAACCACACCACCGAGGTTCTGTCACAAACATGTTATGATCACGTGTCCACATCATGACTTCAGCGTCTCAGAAAATCATCGTGCGTGATCTCACTCTACCAACTGTTCAGACCGCTGCAAACCTGAAGTTCCATCTGTCCTGTACTGTCTGTTCTGAAGTTTTGTCCGGGGTGCAGTCATGACCAGCGCCAACCGAAGCTCTCCGGGAGCGGCTCACTTGTATGGGAAGAACTGGCAGCCCCTCTCCGTGCTGTCCGCCGCGAGTCTCCCCGAGCTTTCCGCATACAGCTCCTTGAAGAACTGGAAGTTGAAGACGGCGGGGGCCGTCCAGTTGGCGGTGCCGTCCGTGATGATGACGGGTCGGCCCGAGTACGCGTACCTGCGACGCCAAGGGTCAAGGTCAGCCGGGTCACACGCCGGACACCGCCCGATATCGACTCGTCTGGCGTGATGCAGGATGGCAAAGCAGGATGGTAAACAGCCATACTGCCTTTGTGTGAGTCCGCTTCGTTCAACACGATGCTGTGATATCAAATGCCCCAATGGCACAAATAGACAGACGCAGTCAAGGGCTTTTGAGGAGCGGCTGGTACTAAACGATTCCTCATCTGAATATGTAAATGTGCGTGGTCGACAGGTCGGTCGCAGATATAGGAACTGAAACCGGCGTAAACCTGTGGGTGCAGCTATATGTATGCATATATATATATATATATATATATATATATATATATATATATATACACTGGGTGATCAGGACAAGATGCGTATATAGTATTAACGTGTGATACGATGTGGGCAATGAGGGCGAAAGTCGGACATCAAATTGAGAGTCGTAGCTAGGCGAGGAAGCCAAAACAAGTGGCGTAAGTTCCCCCCGCCATAACATTGCGACAAAGCATTCGGTGACCCGGCACCCGTTGGTCGCTGTCGTGACTCAGATAATGCATGTTCGTGTTTGCAATCCAGCCGAGCCGTAGATAAGTACCCTAATCGTCGTCGTTGTCCCGACCGGCCTGCGCCGCTCCGCTCAGACCAGACCGCTCCGCAGGTGTGCTGGCGTTTGGCCAGAGTACGTCACATCACGTTGTAGCTGGTGATCGCTCTGTTCCTTCATAACTGCACTGGATGGTGGAATCCACATATTTATTTTGCACGAGTGTACGTGGCGTTATGCAAAAGTCACCTTGGGGTCCTCGAGTGACTGGCCGGTTTTGAAGGGAAATTGTGCGGTCATGGGCCACAAAACACCGGGAAAGTCATGAGCTTCTTACCTTGGGTCTAATGGGCTCTGGAGCGAAACCTCACCATGGAATCGCGCCCTGATCGTACAGGCACTCGCCCTGAGCGCCTTCCCGGACACATTCATCTGTACCGAGACGATTCATCGCCGTCTACCACCCAATGAAGCGATCTAACAGCCCGACGTCCCCACCGGACAATCCAGCAGCCAGTGCCGGAAATAGCGCTGCCTCCAGTCGGGGGGACGACTGCAGATCGTAGGCGAAAGCCCAGCTTAAAGTGCAGGAAGTCGTCCAGCGGGTGGCCACACCGTCAGCGTCAGCTCTCCGCTCATGGGGCGCCACCTCCCGCCGGGCGCCAGCTGAGCCACCAGGCGTGTGAGCGCTTCCGGGTGCACTACGCGCGAGCCCGCCAGAGGCAGCGACGCTCGCTGCCCCAGGGTAGCTGGACTGGTGCAGGTGTTGCGCCACACGCCGGCCACTCGCACCGGAGCGCATTCTTCCGGCAACATCTAGCGCAATATTCAGCCTAACGATGAAGAAAAACGTTGGACAGGGAAGACGCTGGGTTGTGTGATGGTCTACGCTTTGCGTGGATTCATGTACTTAATGGCAATGCCGCTTGCCGACTTTGTAGAACATTTCCCGTTGACACTCTGGGATGTGAAATTTCTTTGTTGCAAAAGGATGTACCACACGGTCGGGAAACAAGCCCGAAGCAAAAACAGGCTGCAAGGCAAATCAAGGCAGTCCGGCGATACGTGATCAACACCATTTGATGAAGGCCATAAAAGTCGTTTGCTTGGGCTGATGTGTGGGTTTATGTGTGGGTTCATGCGTGGGTTAATGTGTGGGTTCATGCGTGGGTTAATGTGTGGGTTCATAAGTGAGCTCATGTGTGGGTTAATTTGTGAGTTCATATGTGGGTCCACGTGTGGGGCCCGAGCGCAGCCAGTTTCGGACGTTCGGACGCGGGCCACCGATGCGCTCGTTTTGAATATGTTTCCTGATTAATGTTGGATATCGACAGAGGAAAAATGCATGAATTCAGCTGCACAGCATAGACAAATGCATAATCTATACATCGCAATATGCTCCAAACACTGTCCAACCCACTGCTACGCCAGAAATCGATCGAGAAAAGTTCAATGTCAATTCTTCCGAGACCTCGCGGCCTCGAGGGCCGCTAGCTGCGCCGTCTCTGGGATGGAGTGGAGGTAGACCGTGAAACTACGGGGGTGGGTAGTCAGGCTCGCTCTGCCCAGCATGTGCGCAAAGTGTTTTCTTTTGGAAATATTTCGGTCACGGTTGCCGAAAACATAAATCGTAATCTTTTGTTTCGCAGACCTAAATCGCCGAGCCTGTCCAGACCCAATGGTTTAATGCTTTTGGCGGTGTGGTCCGTGAACTAAGATGGGATCGCTTCTTCAATAAGTCTGCGTGCTAAGCCCTCGAGAACAACGGATTATAAACATTAAAGACATTTGTGTGAGTTCCAAGACGTATCTAGGGCCTAATAGCTTACCATCCGGTGTGATTCACAACATGATAGGTCAAGGATCGGGTTTCTGATGTACGCATACGAGTTTCTGGACGTGAGGCAAGGCGACGTGATCAGAATAGAACTACTAATACGGAAGGCGTTTGTGTCTATTTTTACCATGTCAACAGTTGAGCTTTGCTTACTTGAGCTCGAACTCTTGCGGAGTGATGTTGGAGACCCGGTCCACGTCCAGCACATCTGAGCACCTGCTGCAGTTGTTTGGCGTCGCCGTCAGGTCGGCCATTATCGGATGCATCTCGATCATGCACTGTCGACCCCACAGCTCGCGTCAGCAGCCGTAACAACATCTCCAGCACGAACTGGCCGCAGCACATGTGCAAGTGAGAGCAGCGGCAACATCCCGGCGCACACTCCTGACATCACTTGCGCTAGTCAGTTGTAGCGGCAGCATTGCGACCGCGCATTGCCGAAAAACACCCAGTATGCGCTTGCATGGCGGTTTGCCTGCATGTGAGCCCAAATTCGAGCCGGCGATGCTAGAGAAGGCACGGCCTTCCGTGTAACTGGGGTGCGGCCAAGAGTTTGGGCGTGGTCTCCATAGCAGCCCTGAGTGTGGTATGAGCGTGCTCCCTTTGCAGTTCCGTGGGCGTGGTCTCGGATGTCACCGCACTTTGTGCTATGAATAGGTCTCCAGTGCTCGAGGGTGCAGTCCCCGTTTTGCCGGCGTGTACTTCCTCAGTGTAGTACCGACCGTAAGCATGGCCTTCTGTGCAGCGGCTCTTTATGCCATCCCATCGACTTTCACAACTAGTGCTTTAAACGGGGAAACCTGTTTGAGGCAAGACCAGCCCATCCAGTTCCAAGCTCGGTGACCTCAATTAGGGCCGCTCTCCAGAGTGGGGACCAGCTCTACACGCGCGTATGGCAGCACTGACATGATGGTATGCGCCTGGACCCTACGGGCGTGTCCGGGATCCCATAGGGCTCCAGGCTTATGGCATCCCTGGAACGGACACTAGGATCTTTTTTTGGGGGGCTCCAGGGCATGTCCGCTGACAAGGGCGTCAAAATGGGGTTTCCAAAATCGCATCATATGTGGAGCCCTATGGCCTGGCAAAACCACAACAGGGACAAACACGGCGTGTTGACATTGGTAAAGAGTGTGGCCCGAGTGTTCATGCACCCTGTGGACCTCGCTATCCTCCCAGCCCAAGACTTCTTTTGCTGTTTTTCCTTTGTATGTCGGCGCTATCGGCTGTAAGTATTCACTTTACTGGGTCCCCATCATTTCCCCAGTTTCCTTCAAATAACTGGGATCTCGTGTAGCTTATAAGCCGTCTACCAAGCTTTGATGTTTGGGAGCTGCAGAATGAGCATATTGCCATAAAACTGTCTTTGGTCGTATATATATATATATATATATATATATATATATGCAAGGTAATTGAAATGTTTGAATGTATATGTACTTGATGTACATGAACTTGCATATATATATATATATATATATATATATATATATATACGCATCGTAATCCAAAATGTTATGCATTACATTACAGAGCTGTGTGTACCTGGCCCGCACAGAGGCACTGAAGTGTGTGGAACGGTCAAACCGCGGAAATGTCATACACGGCTCACCATCTATTCAGTTATATGAAAACCGGTGACGCGGTTTTCGGCCGAGTGCGCAGACATGGCCCACGAGATCGCTACGTGATGCTCGTGCTTATATAATACAAATGAACACACAAGTGAACACTTATAATACAAATACAGATGGTGCCGCAGGCATGCCTGCAGCGAAAACTGTTTTCGCCTTTGTGAGAGCGAAAGCAGTCTCCGTGACAAATAATCGATGCCAGAAATGTTGTCTCTAAGCAGGCGCCCGCCAGTCAAATGCGTTTAGTAGCACCTGACACGGATGGGCGCATTCATTAGCTCGTTGATGGCGCCATGGACCGGCCAATAACACGCGTAAAATGGTGAAGGGTCTCCCACAGCATTCGTTTTACCGTCCACACAGATTGCAAGCGAAAATAGCAGTATTTATTTCCTCACCCAGCCCGAGTGCTCTTAGGTGAGATACGGGCTGCAGTGACGCTAGAAACGCTAGCAAACTTTCGAAGATAGAATACGCTTAACGGAATGAAACTGACATGTTGCATGGTTTTCGCCAAAGCATGCTACGAATTAGCGTACTCCCCTAGAGAAAAAAGTTTATTTCCCTTTACTTCAGTAGTCAAACGCCTGGCGCTCTTCCCACGATAGCGTTATGGCATATGTAGCTTGAAATAATTGGCAAAAAAGCCTCTTTATTCTTCAGAGGGAATTAGAATAAATTATATAGGATATTACTGAAGGACAGGACAGTGCGTTTTCAAAAAGCGGCTTTTAAACTCAGCAAGTTTTGAACTAACAAAATGCTGTTTATTTTCTGTTTCATCTTCGCCCGTACGGCTATGAACTACTACAATGCGATAAGAAAGGTTTCACTATCACATACTCGCATGAAAAAGGACCCCATTCTAAGACCTCAAATTTCGGGGTTGTAAGATAGGCAGGCAAAACTACTGATAAAGCAGAACATATCAAGGAAATCAGGAGATTTTTCCGTAACTTTCGAACCAAACGGTTTTAGGCACGGCTCATGCCTTAAGCCCTCGCTGAACTCGGGGACCTGACAGCTCTCGACCTTGGAACAATATTACAGCTGATACGGCTGGTGCTCTCCTCCTATGTTCTCCAGCCTTCCAAGTCTGACAGGCACTGAGGAAATGCTGGTTGTTGTGTTGAACGACTCATTGTTTGGTCGGTATGTTTGAAGAAAAACCAATGAAGGAGCGAAAAAATCTGTCGATGTTATTGTATTCATTAATGAGGTGTCAGAGACGGCAAGGTAATCTTTTCATACCTCCAGGCAAAAAAGACGACCATTAGGCATTGGTTAAATAAAGGAGCACGCAACGTTTCCGGAACGACATCACGCAAGGAGTGTCTCACGAGTCGTGGATGGTTGACTTGAAGTCAGAAAACAAGGATGGAGATGCGCCACTGCGAACAGGCTCGTATGACTTTGCCTCACGCATTTGACACGCTGCAATTTACAGCACCTCTTCTCCAGCAGTCAACGTGCGTATGGCTGGTATTTGCTAGCATTTACCTGCTGTATGTGTACTAATGCCGCATGCTCCACCGAGCCTCCCCGGAGTGGCACGACACAAAATCAGAGCACACCGTGAACAGCAGGCGCCCAAGCCGACACAGCACGACAGAATGACGACAGAAAGGCATGACTAACAGTTACTGAACACAAAGTGCAGCTGGCATATGGCCTGCAAGATCAGGTGGCAAATGCTCCATTTGCGTACACACCTCGGTCCATCTCGCCGTTTGAAGAACGCCCCCCCCCCCCCCCCCCCCCCACCACCACCAACAGCATAGTTTGTTGCAACCAGCTTCAGTGTTTCGGGTGCATCTCCGATATTTTGATGCGTCGTAATGCAATTTAGGCTAGCTTGATTTGATACCACTGTTCTCCAGAACGTAAAGTTTAAAATTCGTGTCGGGTCGCCAGGTTCCTGTCAGGTAAACGGCCAATGACCTCGTTCCGAAAGCCCTGCAGTGTAAAAATGTGGAAAATGAAAACTTCGTCACGTATCATGAGCTCGGCGCATATTTGTTTTAGTCCAGTGGTGATGGAGGTGTGAAGTAGCTACGTACAACACGCCATCAAAGCCCACGACGTTTGCGAAAGTATTCCTGGACAATGTCAAGCAACAAGTCAAGTAGAAAACTGAGTCAAATTAGCCCTCCAACCGTCGCGTCATGAACCAAGACAACGAGAACTAGTCGCCTCAAATTATCCCTTGGAAGTGAAGGATGAAGCGCTTCTGCCTGCATCGGTCCCACTCGGAAGTCGCGCGTAAAGGTACACAGAGATGGAAAATATGTTGCTTGAGTTCGTTTTACATGACCTGACGTTATCTTTCCAGACATTCTGTGGTAAAGCGCTGTAGATGCTGTGCGCAGCTGTTGCCCTTTTTTGTAGACGTCAGCTGGAGTCAGCTGTTCAGAATGCGGTGAGTCAGTTAGATTCACTCTGCTCTCCTGAAATTCATCACAAGTTTGACTGCGATTCCCCAAATAAACAATTCACCGGAAGCAGTCATGTGAATCAGATCGTCCCCTTTGACGAGCATACATTCGGCCGCTGTCTGACACAGGAAACACATTTAATTGCACGTGATAGCATCTACGATAAGGCCTCCGCAAAAGGACGAAAGGTTCCAGTAGCTAATGGCGGCGGCACTCACGCGCAACACAACACCATGGTACGACATGGTACGGAGTGAACCGAGTGCAAGGCGCTCACATCAGGTAAAAGGTCGCCAAGAGTCTTTCGCCGAATTTGGTATAGCCGTCTTTTAGAACGAAGTCTTGGTTGTCAGATAGATTTCAACACGCCCTCGGGTGAGGGACATGTTGAGTCCCCAAAGGTTTTTTTTCCAGAATGATTTCCGGAGGTCGAAGCGCAACAGCGCAAAACGCCAAACTTTGTTTAGCTATAGAAAATTGAATAGCGGATATTTTACGGTAAAAAATTGATATACCTTGTAGGGTCGTTGATTTATGGCAAGTAAACGACGGGCCATGGCTGTCACCGAAGGGCATTTCTAGGGAATAGCTTAATGTGATGCAACAGTGGAATGTTAGACAAAGGCGTAGGTATTTGATATAGTTTCTTAGGCGACAAAAGGTATTGAGGTCAGAACGAGGTCAAAACTAGCCTGCTTTTTTACCCGAGAGCTTCGTTTTAAAAGGTAGTTTCTGATGCTCATTTCCAATTTGTTGACAACAGGAACCGCACCAATACGTTCCACGGATTCTTTAATGATCAGAGTAGATCACTGACTAAAAATGACCCAGGCCAAAATAATATTTTAGTAATATATCGCCTGGCGTAATCCCTGGTGCTTGACAAATCCCTGGTGAATGACAAAACAGGAGCAATGTCGTAGGTGTTTGGTCACCTTGGCCTCATAAAAGTCAGAAAGGCCAATGACATTAGTGACCTTTTGCTAGAACAGTTATGCAGCTTCGCGGCGGTTGCATGAGGTCTGGGGGCACTTAAAACATCAATCTGGAGTTTAACCTTGTTTGACCTTATTTGTCCCCAGGTATGAATCTCAAATTTTGACACGAGTAAGTTCACGTACAGGCCAACCCATCCCACGAATTTGGTATTGCCAGCTGTCTGAATTTTTAAGATTTTAGCGTGGTCAAATTGCCTCCTGCCCGAGTGAAGGTTATCCAACCGGCCGCCCGGGCGCGTGTCTATGCAATGTTACATTGTGTGGATTGGTGCTGAGAGCATAACCTTTCCAAAAAAGCGCATTTACTTCTTTCCATAAAAAAGAGATCGAAATGTAGATCCCAGCCTGATGTTAACATCGGCCATACAACAGATTCAGATCTGATGCAAACTCAGTGAACTGTTCTGCACCAGGCGATGTTGGGACAGACGCGGGCTGTGTGCTCATAAGGGCGGGGGGGGGGGGGGGGAGGGCATTTCGCCGTGATTGGGCCAGAACTTCGAACGGCGTTGGGTGTTGTGGGGTCCAAAAGTAAGCTCGGACGCAGGGTGCGTACGTCTATTGGCTGAGTGCATGGGGGGTTAAGCGCAAGTGCACATGCGAGTGCATGTCATGGTTATGCACGAGAAATTAGTGGTAACGTAATGATAACATAGCTTTAAAATTGGAAAATGGCACGTATATTAGGTTCAAATAAATATGTAGTTATATATATATATATATATATATATATATATACATACATATATATATATATATATATATATATATATATATATATATATATATGCCTACAAATAGAATTCCAGGTCTCAGGAGCCGTCCATAACTTACATTACGTATGCAGGGAGGGAGAGTTTTGATGAAGTGTAACGGAAGTATAACAAGGGAGGGTGTTGAAGATTTTAGAAAGTGTTGTGGGACTGTTAAAAAGTGACGTTACGCTCAGGTGCGTTTGCAAATCATTTAAAAAACATGTTTAAAAATAATCAAAATCTTACAGTACGATCCCGTTGGCTACCTCTCATTGCCAGCAAGACGTCCCTTATTTGTTTCGCATCTCTAGCTTAGTTTTATAGGCTAAACGAATGTTACTGTTCTGGTTCGTTGCAATTAACTGAGGGTTACCAGGGAGGATGTTTCAACCAGCGCAAAATGTGAGTAACCAAGGGAAGTAATGATAAAAGATGGTCAACAATTCTTAACGCAATTTATGAACGGCCTCCTACTCAATCACCATTTAGGGGTAATACATTAACACGCAACAATTCAGTCTATATATATATATATATATATATATATATATATATATATGCACGTTTGTATTCATGCATGCATGTATCATGTATGTATGTATATATGTGTACATGCATGCATGCCTACATGTATGTATCTATGTATGCATGTATGTATGTGCTCTTCTGAAGCATGACCCGGTGGCAGCGTGATCTGCATGTGGCATGATCCAGTGATAGCCAGGCTGGATGAAATCCGGACCCTCGTTCGTCTAACTTTTTAGTAAACAGCTCTGTAGATCGCTTTTAAAAAACATAAACTTATGGGATTGTTGATGCTTGCTAGCAACGTTCTTAATTTCAGATCGTCGTTCTGAAAGAAAGCTGTCTGCAAATTACACGCATGCTTCAGAGCGCTCGGCTTACGCCTCAGCATAGCAAGGATGTGAGCCTGCACGGCGATCGTGACAGACCGTGGATGTGCCGCTTTGCGCAAGGGGCCGCCTTAATTGGTGTGCACATTTCAATCACGCTGCCTGAAGCACGCCGCTTGAAGCGCGTGACGTATTTGTAGCACGACACCGGCAGCGGCCCTCCTGACCGAGCAGCACTGTAACACGACAAGCGAACACCTCACGACGAACGCGCACCCTGGAGCCCTGCATGCTCGCCACTGTACCCACCGGCTCATTCTCCACGTCGAGACCCTCCACCCACAAGATGAGCCGCGACAGGCCTTGCACTGTGTACAGCTCCTGGTGGACGAAGACGGCCAGTAGGATGGCTAGTAGGCCGGGTAGCAGCCAGGGCTGCCAGCGGGGCTGCTTGCCGCTCGCTGCCCGCTGCAGCCGGTCGTAGCCGGACAGGCTGCGCAGTTGGGCCGGCTCCACGTGCAGCTGCCGGCAGCGCGCCAGGATGGCCGCCACGCGGCCGCCCAATTCCTTCCCGTCCGGCTCTGTGCGGGTCATCACGAATACTGGGGGCACGGCCGGTCCCGCGCCCGAGCGGCACCCGCTTGCCCCTGCCCGCGGCAGTCGATCGCAGCGTCATCCGACGACAAAAGCCCAACTCACAGTTCCCTGGCGGCGCGGCGATCGGCGATGTGGTCTGATACGGACCTGGAATAAAAAGCCGGAAGGACCATTTAACGAATGCCTTCTTGTCGACTGCTGAAAGACGACAGTGGGATTTTGACACGTAAAATATTCAAATCGACTTGAAGGCGGCCGCAAAAAGGTGAAGGATAGAAACTGACCGGCCAGAATGGCAAAAAGCGAGCCGGGGAACAGCGAAATGAGGACATGTTAAAAAGTCGGCATGTCAAATTTGCGAACGCCAATATCGTGAGCTGCAAAATGGCGACGTACCAAAACGCCGGCAAGCCAAAACGGTGAGCGTTCAAATGATGAGTCGTTACGGGATCATGTTTTAATAACTGGTGACATGGAAAACGACGACATGACGAAATGCTTTCTGGCTGTAATAAAACTGCAATTTCGAAAAGCACTGTGCCTTCTAAAGGCGAGGTTCAAATCCAGCATATGGGAACGTTCAACCGAATGTTCGCAGTCGGCGAGCATTTGAATACCGGAATCAGTGTTGAAATATTCGAGACAATCGAATACTAAAATCATAGCGGAAGAATTCCAAAAAGCTAACTGTTTTTCACGTAAGCAACAGGTAGGTTTCAGATCATACTTTCGGGCATTAAGTTAGAACCGTTGTGTAGATTTCCTGACAAGATATCAGTGGTAACTTACATTGATAGCGAGCTGGCAATGAAAGCGGCTCCGCCACGCAATATTTTACTTTAATTTCTTGACTTTTACCTCCTAGCAGGCAGTATCACGTCACCAATATTCTCATTTTCGGGATGTCCATCCGTCCGTCATGTACAGGTGCATTCGCGCCTGGTCGCCGGTGCCAGCTGGCAGCGGAAATCCGGCGCACAACTGGGCACGGCGGGCTGACCCATTGCAATCGATTGGTGCTCGGATCCGCCCGGAGGGGCGCCGTCGGTGCGTGTAAACGTGCCCCATTTGTTGCCCACGGGAAACATGGCATTTGCAACTTAACAAAAACCGCCAAGACACATGGTGAACTGCTTGTCTGGGATTTTGGAGGGGGTCTGGGAACTGCGCGTACGGGATTTGATTCCCCACGGCGTCCGCCCTTCCTGCCAGGGTGAGAGACAGGCGACGGCATATAGCCCCAGCTGCTCTGAGAAAAATACGCACAATCGTGCAGGCGGAAGTATGAATCGATGTGCGCTGGGGTGCACGTGCACTCGTACGCTAATCGTGGGCTCGGCGGTCTGGGAGCGTTTTCAGGATTGATGTCAGCTCTCGGCGACCCGAGTAGATAACGACGTGAAACCGAATGCACCGTGCAGGCACACGCACCGTCTATGAATCCATCACCACCCGCGAATTTTTGACACACGTCGATTAGTTCACATCTGACCAATAAAGCAGTCGTCATAAAGCAGTCGACAAAGAGGCATTCGGTAAGCTACGAAACGGCTCTTTGACCGCACACTGTCTGATACAGCGGTGGTACGCCCGAACACTGCCTGATGCAGCGGTGGCACGCCCGGACAATGTCTGATACAGCGGTGGTACACCCGGACATTGTCTGATGCAGTGGTGGTACACCCGGACACTGTCTGATGCAGCGGTGGTACGCCCGGACATTGTCTGATGCAGCGGTGGTACGCCCGGGCACTGTCTGATGCAGCGGTGGCACACCCGGACACTATCTGATACGGCGGTGGTACGCCGGTACGCCGGGTGTGTGCATCTGCATGCCTAACTCCAAACATGGAGCAGAGTCAACGTTTCGTCGCTGGTTATGGAAATCGCCAACTGAAAGCCAAAAAGCTGGGACATCTGAAATGTAGCAAATAATGGTAGCAAGTAGTTGGCTTTGGATTATGATGCTGTCAAATTGCATTTCAACGAATACGAAGGTGAATTTTCCAAGTAATTATGTCGGCCAATAACCTAAACAGCTGACGATTTTATCATGTCAACAAGGCATGTTTGTATAACACTACGCTCCTACAAAAATGATGTTAATAGCAATAGATATAAGCGTCTTTAAATCTCATCCTTGGTATGTAGACAAATGAGCTTGGTAGACTGCTTGTATGAAGGAAAAGCAACGGAAACCAATAAAGTTCAATAGCATTTAATGGGTATTAGAACATTACATTGAAGCGGCATGTAAAACGCGTGAATAAAATCAGCCATGAATAGACTTGGAGATGAGCTCACGTTTTTTGTAATTATACTGTTTCGATTTCCTCACCGCGTAAAAAGCTTGTGTTTCGATTTTCCCCTCTTGAAATGTGACAGGGCATGATGGACGAACCATACCATGGCGCGCGGTGATATCTGTCTGGAAGCTGCAAAATCGGACGCCCCCTCGGCTGGCTTGTTGGGAAACTTGTCTGGTAGATTTTAAGCCAGTGTAGTAAACTGACAGGTGGCTGAAAAGCAAGAGGATCATGAAAGTATGATACTAGGATTAAACGGTGGTGTTCATGCTCTCGTGCTTAAACTGTTTTCTCTCTTGCATGCAGCCATGGGCGTAATCTCCTAAAATGTGTCAAGGGGGCGGTTGAACAGTGAAAGATGACGAAATCCTCCCTGGGGGCTGGAGCGCAGGTTGGGGGCCTGGAGTTCCCAATTGATTGGGAAACCACGCCCCCGTTGTTACCTTAATCCCAAGACTTTAATTACAAAGCAGTCTTCCGTCAACCTGTAGCGCTTGGTTTTGTCTGCAGTTGATGATGTCGAGCAGCCCACCGCCATTTGGCCTCAAATGTGGCTAAAGCTGCGAAAAACGGCGTAAGCAGCTAAGCATAGCCTGGTGCCTAAAGATGCTAACAATGCCTGATTTCATGTCCCGAAACGACCTGTGACTGGATCGTCACGATGAGCCTACAGGTCAGCTCATGCTCTCTGCCGAGGAAAAAACACAGCTCTCTGCTGTGTTTTCAATCGGGTTCACTGGAAAAAGGTCCTGTACTCATTTAACAAACGCTCGGGTGGGGGTCAAATTGACCCCGCCCCCAAAGGTTTTTCCAGAATGGTTTCCGAACGGCACGGCGCAGCGGCGCCCAATTTTGCATAGCTGCAGACAACTGAATAGCGGATTGTTTGGCATACAAAATTTGGATGTAACTTGTAAGGCCGCTGACCTATGGCAGATCAAAGTCAAGCCAAGGTTTCAGCGAAGTAAATTTCTGGGGAATTGTTCAGTTTGATTCAACAACGGAGTGTTAGACGAAGCCGTACATCTCTGAAATGATTTCTTAGGCAGCACAAAAATTGAATGAGCAAATCACGTTGATCTAAGGTCAGTTATCAAGGCCAGACCAAGGTCAAAACCAACCTGCTTTATTACTCTAGGGCTTGCTGTATGGGATATTTTCTGGTGCTCATTTCAAATTTAGTGATAGCAGGAACCGCATTATGCATCTTCCATTGACTTCTTAGAGGTCAGAATAGGCCATTGAACTGAAATGACCCAGGTCAGCATTTTTTTAGGAGCATACTGCCTGGTGTAATCTTTGTCGCTTATTCAAATGCCAAACCCAGAACAGTCTTGTATGATTTTGGTCACCATGACCTTCAAAAGGTCAAACAAGGTCACTGATCTTAACTGAGCATGTGACCTTTTGCTTAGAAACAGTTATCTAGGTTATGGGGGCACTTTGGAGACTGACCTGGATTTAACCTTGTTTGACCTTATTTGACCTGAAGGTCAAAAACTAAGAACCTAGAACTTTGATCTAAGTGAGTTAACACATAGGTCAGCACACCCTATAAATTTGGTGTCTCTAGCTCTCTTAGTTTCCGAGATCTCAGGGGGAGGCAAATTGACCCCCACCCGAACGAAGGGTATTTAACCGGCCACCCGGGCGCGCGCTAACCTAGAGATTAACGTAGGGGATTATATTTGTTGTGCTGTCTGAAGTGATTGTCGGTGTACCAGAAACGAGCTGTGTACCTCTAAACCGCTTTTTCATGCTAATTTCATTCTCAACAGCAGTGGTGTAGCCAAAGGGGGTGCAGCTTTTGGAAGCATGCTCCCCCCTCTCCCTTCCCTAGAGATGGCAAGAGCGCGTCCGAAGGCTTCTGCGCTTTTAGGCTGTTTAAGATGCACGTATGCCATGCCGTGAAAACCCACACATCACGATCATGCCACCATCGCTTAGTTTAATTCCCGACACGTGGTCAATTTTCGCCGCGGCATAGCGACTACGTGCAGGCTGCGTGCATGCACTTTTCATTCACACACGCTCTAGCGCCAACTTTTCTACCCCTCTTCAGTTGTTCAGGAAGCCTTGATACCCGAAACCGTCGCCGCCTCCGCCCTGCTCTCCCGATAATGCATGGAGATCGACGTAGCGTGAGTGAGCCGACAGACCGCTGGACTGAGGAAGACACGCGGAGACATTTATCACCGAGCGCGGACTGACGGTATCTCTCGGGCGTGGTGCCGGATAATCCAGACGCCTGTTTGGTAGAGCAGGCGTTTGGCGAGAGTATGGCAGCAGATACCACTGCGTGCAAGACGCCGACCGGGCCATTGCCATGCCATCTCCAGGATGGTCCAAGTGGGTAAAATGGCACATTCACATACTTTGAAGAAAACTTAAGCTGCTTTTAAGCGGAAAAATGATTTTTGAAGACTCCTCTAATAATGCGGAAGATAAATCCGATGAGTTTTTAAAAACTTCGGTCGACTTTTGTAATTTGGCCCTAAGCTAGGGTCACCCCTCCCCAAGCGATGTTCTGGATCTCTCGTGGTCGTGGTGGTGACAGTTCACGTGGACCGTCTAATTTGGATTAGCGGTCAGCAACTACGCCATGTTTTAATTCATCTCACTGCGATCAATGAACCGAGAATTACTGGTGTTTCACTATTGCGGAGATAGCTACGTGGTCCACATATCTGGCGATACTGTAATCCCTGTGTGGCATGCGGACATTTGATTATTACTGTGTGGGGCTGCAGTGAAATGCTTGCCGCCCACTGGACTGCATTTCAGAGGTCATGACAAAACGGCAAAGGGCCACGCCATGAAACTTCGGTCAGCTGATGATGC